CACACCGTGTTGTGTCTCACCAGGAAGAAGCACTGCACCTAAGGACATACTGAAGAAACTGTGTTGGAGCCCGCAGAGAAACATCAGCCATTTCTGGGTGCTGTTTCCAAAGCATTGCAAGGAAAAATGTCCCGTGGCGTCACATAATTCTCCTCTAAATTTAGCAGACGATCAGGCTGCGACCTGCTTCTGCCTTACCAGCTGCCTGCAGTTCACAGAGCTGGGTCTGGGAAGCCTCCCACCACCCGGGTCCCTTCCAGGCTTTTCACATTGCCAGTTTTTAACATTTTGTGACCCAAACACAGAGAGCCAGAGTTAGCAGAAGGCTGAGCAGTGTTGGTAACTCCCTACCAACCTCAGAGAACTGTGCCTGTTGGCTATTTTTTATCCCAGGAATGGCTTTGAGAGCTCTTTTGGGCTCTTTTCTCCCCGTCCTCTTTCTCTTTTTGCCCCTTGAGTGGGACCTGTGGTGTGCTAGTTGTCTGGTTGAGAGAGAAAGTTCAGCAGCTCCTCCGTGAGAGGGTATAGGGGCTTTGGGATTACTGGTTTCGGAAGGGGTCTGGTACCCAGGTGGATGCTCTGCAGAGCCTTGCTGGCACTGGGTGAGAGCAGCCGGGCTGGGCTGGCTGCAGCTTGCTCTCCAGCTGGTCCCTCGCCTTGGCAGAAGAGAGGAAGTGTCCGTGGCAGGTACGGTTGGGTGGGTGGAATTAAAAATAGCCAAAAGGTAGATTCTGGACGTGGTCACTCAGTGACAGACCTTTTTCTGTTCCAGGCTGAGGATAATTCGTGCCGAGCTCGTTGCGCTGTGACTTGCCCTTAAAATGCCTTGACAATCAATTTCGTTCCAGCTAATAAGGCCCTAAAATGTTAATGAGGCAAATCAATTTTTCATGACTTCATATTGCAGTCAGCTGAGAAAATGCTGTGCTGCAGCCTGCTGATTCCAAGAGGCTTTTTAGGGCAGATATGAGAAGGGCAGCAAAATTTGGCAGATTCCTTGTTTTCTGTTCCAGCTTTTACCCTGCTTTTGTTTCCCTGAGCTTTTGATGCTGTCCTGTTCACTTGTCGCCCCTGGCCACTTCCTCGTGGCTACCACCTGCCCCGCTCCACTGGAAAATCACAGAGCTGCAGGGGTTGGAAGGGACCTCCAGAGACCATCGGGTCCAACCCTGCTGCCAGAGCAGGTTCCCTAGGGCAAAGTGCCCAGGTAGGCGTCCAAACGCAAGGGCCTGAGTGCCTGGCAGGGCAGGTGAGGATGAAGCTGGGCGAGGAAGGCTACTCGTGCTGCAATACTCTTTGAACAGATCGGCAGGCTGGCGCAGAGAAACGTCGTCATGTTCACATCACAAATCACAGCCTCTTCTCCTCGCGGCCCATCTGCTGCTGAGGTGACAGTGGTACTTGGCAGAGATGCTCCCTGTGAGCAGTGGTTCGTGAGGTGCAGGAAGAGCAGAGATGTTTCTTGTGCCTGGTGGGTGGCTCTGCTACCCGTGTGGGCTCAGGTAGGTGCCAGCCATCCTTCGTTTCCCTCAGCTGCTGGTTTCATACCATCAGAAGGAGGTGGGAAGGCTAACGTCCTCCTGGCTGTTCCTGATGGCTATTTTGATGGAGTTGTTTTGATGATTTACTGCTGCTGTCTCCATTCTGGTTTGTGAGTATGGCGATAAGAAGTCTGGGTTTGGAACTCTTTTTTGTTTTATTTTTTTATTGAATTTCAGCTCTAACTACAATTAATTGTTGTGGGCCTGAGGAAAAGATTACTAACTGATGTTTTGGGACGAACATAATATTTTCTAAGTTTTGCACTTGGAAGCTTTGCGCTTTGCTTGGAAGCATTAGCAGGGGATGAGTTGAAATAACTCATGCCAGGGAAATTACTGTGATGTAAATGGGATGCAAACAACTGGCATTCTGAATGATGACTTTCATTTACCTGCCGAGTGAAGCATCTGAAACGCATCCACCCAAGCTCTCCGCCCAAGGTGCGCTCGGTCCAGTGCCAAAGGCTTCCCCAGAGCTTGTGCAACCACGGGGCTGTGTCAGCATCCTCTGCTGCTGTGACAGCACTGGCTGACGGTCACTAAATGGGAAAGGAGGAAGGTATTTATCCCCTCTTAAGTCAGCCTTCCCCTCTCTAGCTGGTGAGAAGCTCTTGCTTCTCGCTTGGTTTTCCCACAGTGCTCTCTCTGTCGGGGCACCTTCACGTGCTGGGATTGGTTTTGGTTTCGTTTTAAGCTCCTACAAACAAGGAGTGCAGCAGTGAGGCTCATGGAGCTTTCCATTCATGCTATGGACTTTGCTCTTCATGAGCCCCTGTCATGAGGCACGGCTGGTGTATCTAGGTCCCAAGCAGGCTGGAGAGCAAGAGGGATGTGAGCAGCACCACGCCGCCAGGATCCTGCGCATCCATTACTCGCTTGTCCCTGTGGAGCCCAGATCCTGACTGACAGCATGGAAATGAGAAATGCCATCAGGATGGCACTGGGGGCTGTGTGGAAAGTGCAGCAGAAGGCAAGCGGCCTTCGTGGGATTTTCCTCCCCTGTACGCAAACCCTTCTGCCTGTTAGGCAGCCGAGTATCCTGACAGCCCGGCTGCTCTGGCTGCCAGCACGGGGTAACCGAACACCCTTGCAAGTGCTCGCTTTTCTTACCCTCAGCCTGCCCTCCTAACCCCAATTCGTCAGGGCTATCTGGCATTTCACGGCGATTTCCTGAAGTCCTGAAGTGTGCTCTGCGGCACGCGTGGCCTGATTGCTGGCAGGGGCTCCGAGGGAGGCATCCCTCTGCAAACCCCAGCCAAGCAAGGATGGGCCTGACTTTGTGTCCAACCAAAATTGTGCCTGAGAACACAGAAAAGCGCGTACGACAGGAAACAACAGAAGTGCCTCCCCTGTGTCCTGCAGAGAGCTCTTCCTGGCACAAAATACCGGGAGGGTGACCATGGGACAGATGCAACTCCTCTGAGCCATGCAGAAGCCTTAGCTTTTTCTCCTGTGGCAGCGCAGGGCTTCCTTTAATTCATTCTTTTCCTCCCTGCTGCAACCCTGAAGACTCCTGTTCCTGCCCTTCTGCAGTTCAACCCTGAAGTAATCTCTCCTGCTTGAGAAATCTCCCTCTGAGGATCCCCGAAATGGGGAGATGGAAACTGGGGCGAAAGCTCAAGCAGCCAGACCGGTCTCACTTCACTGGCCTGGTGTAAGCTCCAGCGGGTGTTCGCCCTGCCTTTACAGCACGTGATGCTGCCTGATTCCCTGACTCACCTTTCGGAGCTGGTGTTTTCAGTAATGCAGCTTCTGGGCTGTCAGCCTGGGCTAGGACACGGAGCCCTGTGCTTGCCGTGCTCGGCAGGCCCCAGCGCTGCTTGTGATGTATGACAGCTCGCCTAATTGAGGACGCAGCCGTGCAGATTTAGTTTTGAATTGCAAATACTGTCACGATTCTGTGCTGGGAGACGTGTCTGGGTGGCTTCAAACCTGCTCTCCCGCTTCGGGCTGGAGCGTGGGCGTGAGGTGAGGCACACCAAGTGGGAATTCAGGCTGCAGACGTGGGGGTGAGCCCGAACTGAGGAGCTGTGCGTGTTTGTTTGCTGCCAAACCCTCCTCTCTGCATGACAATACCAAGTGGTGCTTTCTGAAAAGCAAGGAGGGTCCGAGCTGCTTTGTCTGTAGTGGGGACAGCTTGTGGTAGCTGCTCAGCTGGTGGGTACGGACAGTCCTGTGCGGGCTTACTTACGGTTTAGAGGAGGACTGGGAAGGAAATGTGAGCATTTTGGAGCATTTCTCGGAGCTGGGTACATCTCGGCACCTGGCTTTCCCAGTCTCACTGCCCTGGGCTGCGTGCCGTCAGGGTGCCAGCAGCAGGGAGCTGCCAGCTCGGCAATATCTCCAGTAACAGCCGAGGCAGCTCAGTTGGCAGGGGAAGAGCGCGTGCTGCGAGGGCCTCCCCCCACTGCTACAGGGCACACAGAGCTGGGGTAACGTTACAGGGCATGGCTGGGAGCTGGGGCTTGCACACTCAGCAGGGTATAGGGTGGCCCCGAGCCCCGATGGGAAGTAACAGCAATCCCAGCAGCAGCTGTCGGGAGCGAGCCCAGCAAGAGGGGAATCCTCTGGTGTATTTTTACCTGCTTTTAGACGCTGCTCGGGCAGCTGAAGGATGCACTGCTGGCTGCTCAGCTGTGGCAGGACAGCTCCTAGGTAGGGACAGCTCAGAAATTGCAGTGCTGGAGTCAGCAGCTAACAGCCACAATGTTTAGGGTTGGCTGGGGCTAAAACAAGAGATAATGTGAGGGGTTTTACAAGGCATGCTTGTCTGTGGCTGGTTTGAGGTCTTCCTAGACTTCCTTAAAGGAAGAGCATTGAAAGTGTTGCAAAAATAACACCTACCAGTGCTTCCTGGCATGTACCAAAGGCGGTCGTGGCAGGGTCTGTGCAGCAGCCCCTGCTCGAGCTGCAGGGCAGCTGGTTTTCGGGTAGCCTCGTGGCCGTGCGTGGCTGTAGGACGCAGAGCTGAACAATAAGGCGTGTATCTGTAGCTTCAGCTGCCTGCTAATTACCCTGCTGATGCTACAGGCCGGTGTCTTCTCTCTGCATGCAGCTTGAAGGTAGACTTGTGGATCCCATCTGCCTAAAGCCTAATTAAAACGCCCACTGCTATAAACCACCACCTCATTAGGCTCTGTCTAGATGCTGTGAATCCCCGGGGAGCTCTCCCGTCCACGTGAGGCAATTTAAAGCAGAGACAGGGAAGGAGGCAGACTGTTCAGATGTTCCTTTTCTGGGGAGCAGCACGTCTCCAAGCCGTAAGCACCGTGACGTTCCCCACGGTTATGTGGATGAGACCTGCTTGGGTTACAGCAGCAGTTAACCCTCGTACAGCGCCCACTTGCACTGATCGGGGACGTTTATTTGGTGGGGGGAAGGGGAGGACGTGCAGAAAGGATGTCTGGGAAACGCTGCCTTGCCAGTCCTTAATGTGTTCTCATTCTCTTTTGTTCGCAGGAGAGCTGCTGAGTCAGCCAAGACCAGAGGGACTGACGGAGATCATCTGTCCCAAGAACGGCAGCGAGCGAGTTAATGTTGCCTTGGTTTACCCCCCCACTCCTACTGTGATCAGCCCTTGTTCCAAGTGAGCCTTGAAAGCAGACCCCCACTCCCTGTCAGTGCACGCTGGAAAGCCTAAAACGTGGCCTCACTAAGGGTTTTTTTTGGGAAGGTAACAGCTCCACAGCCCAGGGACAGTTCTAATTATTTGTGAGTGCAGACAGCTCGCTTAAAGGGTCAGAGGAAAGTGGGCTGAGGTTCCCCGAGCTGTGCCGTGGCAGATGCAAGACATCTGTAAGGAGATAAGTCATGGGCGAGTTGAGGTAGGAAGGAATATTTGGAGGTCTTGATCCAGTCCCTGCTCCATGCAGCGCCACCCCCTCAGCTGGGTCAGGTTGCTTGGGACCTTGTATAGGTGAGGGCTGCTGATTGCCAGGGATGGAAGTGCCACCCCCTCTCCGGGCTCTGAAGTTAAACTGTTCTCCTTGGGCTGAGCTTTTTTACTGACATCCAGTCTGAGTTGCCTGTAATTCAGGCTGGCCTTCACCACCACAATGCGCACTGCTAGCTTCAGCACGTTCTCCTCTAGGTCCCTAGCCAGTTGGCCCTAAGCCCGTGGTGGTCTGTGGGGTTGTCCTGCCCTAGATATAGGGCTACTGCGCTTGTCCTTGCTGAACAAGACTGCTCATTGACCGAGCACCGCTCTTGGCTCAGTCTCACAACGTTGTGGTGTCCCTCTGGGCAGAGGCCCCATCCTCCTTGTACCGTGGGTGAGGAATGATTGTTGAATTCTGCCTTACGGCGCCCCTGATGTGCCCGCTTGGGTCAGGAGAGAAGGTAACTGCCTCGATTGGCAGCTCCCAAGCCCCAGGCCACAACCGCCCAGGCTTCTGGTCCTCCGTGTGTGTGCCTGACACAGCATGTTTCCCACCCCAGCTTGCGGTGTTGCAGTCTGATGTCAGCGTCACGTCTGTGGCTTGTCCTCCTGTCCTCCCTCCTCACCTCTCCAGTCTCTAAAGCTGTGTCCCAGTTCCGCCGTTTGCTGGCGAGGGAACTCGTGTTCTCAAAAAGGCCGTCTTACTTTCAAACATCTCACCCTCTGTATTTAGCAGCCTAAAAAAATTGTGTGTCTCGAGTTATTCGTCACAAGCGTTATGAACCCTCGCCTCATTGCTGTTTCTCCGTCCTTTGCTTCTCTAGATAAACCATCAGTACTGGTGCCAAAGGTTTTCCACTGGGCAGAAGGTGGCTGATGCTCTACGGTGTTCCCGTCTCTCCGGTTGTGGAGTTGCATGCCGATGGGGAACAATGGGACTTGGGACTCCGAGATGCTGCGGGGCTGGGGCAGCTCCCTGCTGGGGACCTCGTGGCTGGAGCGGGCACAATCACCTGGGAGCTGGGGACGACGAGGAGACACGAAGCAAAAGGATTGCTGCGGATGGCAGGGCCGCTGGCCCAAGGGAAAGCTCTGGGGATAGGATTCTGTGGACCCACTGATTGTGTGTTGAAAACCCATTTGGATCTCATGATGAATGTAAAAAAATGTTCTTGATACCATTTAACTCAGACCTGCTTGGAGGAAAGCCTCTTGAAACGAGCTGTAGCAGGATTCCCTGGATTTGTTCCTGGACAAGTGAGTTCCGGGGCAGTTGGCCAAGGCTTTGGGGAGGGAGATGGGTCGGTTTTGCAAAGCCTTTAACATCGGGATCTGCAGCTCTTGCACAGGTGACATTTCCCTGGCTTCTGGTCCTTAAAATATCAGCGTTGCGTGCAAGGCTGCTGAAAGTCCCTGCCCGAGGGGCTAAACGTGGGGAAATGCAGGGCAGAATCCGTGCCAGTGGGAGACGCGGGAGCAGGGTGGTAAAAAAAAAAAAGAAAGGCATTGTTCCTAACTTCAGGGTGGAAAGCTGCCAAGTAGGAGTTTGCAGCTCAGTCACCTTGGTGCCTTTTCTGGGCGTAGTTCCAGCTAGGCGGGGAGCCGGGGCTGGGGTTTGATGTGCTGACCTGCCCCGTCTGGCAACGGGCAGCTGAAGCTTCGTGGCAGCGAGAAGCACGGGTTGATCGCCGTAGCTAAACCCAGCCCGAATCGCCTGTGGTGGCCAGGTGGTGGGGCAGACAAGGGAGATCTCTCCGAGTGGTGCTCAGAATACTGCTAGGAAACTTTCTGCTCCTGTTTTGCTGCCAGTGAAACGCGGAGGGCCCAGTACAGTCAGAGCACCGTGTGCTGTCGCTTCCCGTGCTGGGAGGTCGTCGCCTGCTCTTTCCACAACTCACCTCTCTTTCTGTCCTCCATAGGAAGAAAACAGGAACTTGTTGCTGTGCTGTTGCATGGAATCCACGTTGCAAAGAAATCACCAACTGGAAGCCTTCTCCAGCCGGAGGCCCGTTTCCCAGCGGGGTGTGCAAGTGCCGGAGGAGCCAGGGGACGGAGCAGACGCCACCTCGCCTGGTGGCAGTGCCACCTCGGCAGGAGCACGGCACCGCCCGGCCCTTGGCAAGGGCTCGGTCCTCCGTGCGCTGAAGCCGTGACGCCGGGAGCAGGGCAGTACGGAGAGCAGTCGAGTAGGGTCTGCTTCATGTGAAACCGTCATCGCTCATCCGCCCGCCGTTCAGTAACTGGCGTGACCGTGTTTTCGTTTCTATTTGTTTGTTTGTTGTTGTTTTTTTTGTTTTTAAATACGCAAAAGCCATTTAATTTTCTATGCAGCTCAGAAATGTCTCCCGTTTGCAGCTGTCAGGTAAGAGATCGGTGCAGGAGAACCGTGCCGAGTGGCTGCTAGCCCTCTGGCTTCTGCCGTTTGCTCTCTTTTTAAGGATGCGTCCTGGGATCCTTTGCACACAGTGTCCCTTCGCTGAGCTCCTCTCTCTTAGACCCCACGTAACAGCCCTGAGCCCCAGGGATGTGTGCCCTGTATGTTCGAAGGATCTGTCATTTTTCATGAGTCAAACCACAAGGAAAGAGGGCTTAAAGGTGCTGCCCTAAGAGCGGAGACACGCAGCTCAGAGCACTCTTCATTCCTACTCTGTTCTTGTCCCTGCTCGGAGAGTTACTGAACTGTTAGCAATGGCTAAGGCCGTTGTGGAGCACCCTGCAGCCTTTCCTGAAGGTTTATTACTGAAGAGGGTAGGAAGGACCTGGGGTATGAGTTGTCTCTCTGTGGAGCTGACAGTGACTTTTGACCCCTTTGGAGTAGGAGGGGAATCTCCTGGTACCAGACGCTCACTTGACTTGAGAGGACTTGCTGGTTTTGCTCGTTGGTTTGCAGATCTCTTACTTGCCGACCAGTTGGTTTCCTCCTCAAACTGGTCCGTACAAGGTTTGGGAGCAGAGCTGTGCGACTGTCAGCAGCTGGAGCACGTCCCGGAGTGCCTCGTGTTACACTTTGAAGCAAGATGTGGGATTCAAGCCTTCATCCGTCCATGTGAAACTCCCACTTTGCCTTCTGCTGGGTCCGCGTAATGCAGGAGAAATGGCACGTCCCTAAGCAGCACAGATATGGTGAGGTGGAGCCCAAAGAGTGCTGCATACCGAGCTCTTCTTAGGGCTTGCAGGAGTACCTGGAGGCCTCTGACAACTGCAGAAGATCCTGGATGGTGGCTTACCTCTGCTTTAGCCGTGCTAAAGGCAGAAAGGTCACAGATGTAAGATTGGTACCAACCTGCCCCATGGCCGGGACAGGTTTGACTAATTTCCTGTCTGCATTCTGTCTCTGCTCTGACTTTGGGGGATTCAGTGTTAAAGCAAAACAGAAAGAGAGACCAAATCAGGATTTAACCTACCTTGCAGTCTCTGAAATCAAACTGAAGAGGCTGGGGGCTATGGAAACACGCCATCTCCCTTGCAGCATCCTGAGAAGCATTTAGCTGTGCTGTAGCACTGGACGTGACACGGGGTCCCCGTCCTGTTCCCGTCCCTTTGTTCCTCTGACCTGGTTAAAATTTGTCAGAGTAGTAGGGGTCCCTCGCTGCAAAGGGACAGAATTGGCTCCGTTAAAAGGAACCGGTGATGGTATGGACACACCAAGTGAGGTGAGGGAATCCTGGAGTTCAGCTCACCTCCCCCAGCAGCCTTTGGTTGGGATCTTGGGCTGCCATCCTTGGAAGGGCAGTGGGGGGGAGATGGAGATGCTGCACTGCAATAAGCACAAGAAGAGGCGAGTGAACAGGCCTCAGTGTAGCACTCATCACATGCTTCATGGCTCAGTTCATGAACTATAATTGCAGGTATTCACATGATCTACATAACTGGGCAGGACTCTGCACACACACACATGCATGCCCAGACATACATGCACCACACCCACACATCCTCACCAAAATGACTGAAAATAAAAGTGATGTAAATCTCAAGGAGAGGTCAGCTGTTTGATTTGTCTTCTTCTCTTCCAGTGCCTCGTTGGGCCCTGCCTCTGGAAGGGTCTGGGATTAATTGTAGCTCTCTTCCTCTTCTCTTCTCTTTCTCTTCTTGTGGAAGAGAGCTACTACCAGTGGTCAAGCAGGCGTTACAGGGAGTAAGGAGCTGTCAGCTAGCTGCTATTCTCCTTATTTATTGCCTTAGGGTTGCAGCCCAGTGAGAGGGAAGCATAAAACCATATGTTGTAAGCTCATGTCCAGAATTGTCTGTGGTCCCTGTGGTGAATAAAGAACCAGAAGTGTCTTGAACCAGGAGCCTTTGTTACACTCTCCTGCAGGCTTCTGGCTGTAGGTTTACCTGCAAAGCCTCAAAAACATTTCTTGGCTTCATCAGTGAATGTGCCCAGACCTGCCTGGAGGTGGGGCCTGCCTGATGCTGACGCTGTTACCTCTGCTGGTGGCTAATGCAGCAAAACCTTTTGGGTGGGCTTTCTGTCTGGGTGGCTTTCCTTAGAGCCTTAGAGTAGGTTATAAGTGTATTTTACTCTCTTTTTTGGGTTCTTCTGTAGTTTTTAGTTGTTTCCACTCATGTGTGCTCTTGTAATCACCAAGATCTGTGTGCCCAGGGGGTCTGGCCGGGATCAGAGTGGATGAGGGATGCTGGCCACCGTCAGTCCCCATCAGATTGATGCCTAACTTCTGCTCTGGGTGGATTTCCTTGGGATTTCTCCTGTCTATGCCCTAAGCTGCAGGCTCAGGGATTTTGGCTTTCACCACAAGGGACCGGGGCACGTCTGTGGGGGAGGGCGGGTGGGTGGCGGTGCACGGCGACACCCAGAGGCCCCTCAGCCGCTCGGTGCTTATGTGAAGAAACTTGTGGGGAAGCTTTTAACCTCAGGACATACCGTGAGGTTAAAACCCGGAGCCCTGAGGCGAGGAGCCGCCCCTCTCCCCTCAGCAGCCGGCGGGCGGCGTGGCCGCGCCTCACCCGCTCTCCCCGCCCCGGGGGCGGCCCCGCCGCTCCTCCCGCCTCTCCCGGCCACCAGCAGCACCACCACCGCCATGGAGGGGCAGCAGGAGGAGCATGAGGAGCAGAAGGAGAACCGCCCGCAGCCCGCCCGCCCGCCGCCGCCTCCCGCCGCCCGCCCGCCGGTGAGCCCCGGGGCCGGGGGGCCGGGGCCGGGGATGGCGGCGGGGCCGGGGCCGCTGCCGCCGCCCAACATGGCGCATGCGCACAGCCCGCCCCGCCGCTGTGGTGGCTGAGGCGCCCGGCCGGCAGGCCTCAGCGTTAACAGCTTTTTAACCCGGTTATAAGCTAATGAAGCGCTCGGTTGGGTCATGAGCGGAACGGTGCGGGGGTGTTGGTGTGTTTAGATGCCGCAAGATGCGTGAAATCCCCCGTCCGTTTTGACTTTGAGGTGTTTTTTGTCCTCCTAGGGCAAGCAGCACGGCTGGGGCTGGTGAGCAAGGCACTGAGGGGAAGAGCCCCGGCTCGGGTCAGGGCGCCTTCAGCGACCCGGTGTACAAGGAGATCGCCGTCACCAACGGCTACATCAACAGGATGAGCCGAGAAGAGCTCAGAAGTAAACTTGCAGAGTTCAAGCTTGAAACCAGGTCAGGCCCAGTCACAGCCCTTCTGTTTTGTGTACTTGTTTTAAACACACGCCACAAAGTGAAAAGGAGACACGCCGCAAACCCCTAGGTGCTCTGCGTGCCAACATAATGGAGCTTTTCTTGTAGGGCCAGCGGGTGTGATACCCCTTAACGTGGTCTCAAGCGTGTGCTGCCTCAGCTGGCAATGCAGACATGAAAAAATGTGTGACTGAGGCACACCTCGCCATGCCCTTGTGCCAGGGGGAAAGGCAGGGGTCCTCGGAAAGCACTGCTTCAAAACAAATCTTATTTACTAGTATGGCTCTGATGGTGGCTAAAACTTTGTGGTGGTAGGTCTGGGAATGCTCTCTGCACTGATAACAGTTAGCTGTAGGTGGGGTGCTTGCTAATCTGGCCAGGTGTGAGAGAATACTAGGGGTAGGTGAATGTACGGTAAGCTGAGTTTGTGCCCAGGGAGGAGGAAGAGGAAGGGGCTAGGCTTATAGAGAGTGGTTCCTGCTGCGTAGGAAATAAGGAAGTCAGCTGGGAACAACAAAGCGTGCTGTTTCTGTTGGCAACAGTAAAAGGGAGTAACGGTGGCATTGGGGAGTTAGCAAAGTCAGAAGTTGGAGCAAGGATGTTCCAGAGGCTGGAGGAGTACAAAGGATGCAATGGAATAAGGCTGGAGGGAATAGTTGAGCTTTCCAGAGAAGACGAAAACTAGCAGTAGTAGTGTCCAGACAAAAAAGAAGGAGCAGAGATTCGATTGGAAAGGAAAAAAGGCAGGGGAGGAGCTGTGCACGGGAAGTGCAGCCTGCCACCTCCACCCCGTCTGTCTGCCAGTGTTCTGGCTACATGACTTTGTTTAATTCCTCCTTTGATTAAATGAATTTGGCTTCTCAGGAGGAAATTATTTACCGTTGTGTGATAAAATTTATAGTGAATTAAACTGGATTTGTATGGCTATTCAGCATTTATTCTGATCTAAAATTACCCAGCAGAAATCAAACAGCAAATGACATGTTTGTGGTTCCCTCCTAGGTTATTAATTTTCTATTTGTGTGTTTGTTTGTTTTTTTATTCAGTTGTAAATACAGAAAGATTTAAATGTGTTTTTTGTTTTGTTTTATTGAGTTAAGACTTAGTGGTTTCTTAGTCAATTAATTCAACTACGTTGATCAGAATATGTCTTGCATGTAAACAAATGGAGCATCACCCCTAACACAGAGAGCTGATCAGGTGGCCGTGCATTATCCTTTCCTCTGAGGTTATTTTGCTGGTAGATCATCACCTCTTTCAACTTACTTTATTATAAGTTACATGGGGGGAAAAAAAGTAATTTTGACTTCTGTCAGCTTTGATACTGTTATTGAATTAAACTAGAAGAACAAATCAAAGCGGAAAAGCCAGTTCAGTGCTTGCAGAGAGGCTGATGTTCTCAAACTCAGGTTTAATAGCCTGATTCCAGTTTTTCATTATGGATCAGTGCAATGCTTTTCTAACAATATCACATGCTACAACACTGCTGCTGTCATTTCATTTGCAATGTAAAACTTCAAAAATAACTTCTTCCAAGAGTAAATGGGCCTGGTTTGTTCTGCTCTGGTTTGGTGTGTGGCTCTTCTGGCTTGTTCAACCTGTGCTTGTATATTGCAGAGTTTGTGTTTAAAAAGTAGCAGTAACTAGCTTTATTCATTTGCCACAGTGAGTGTTAGTCACAAATTTGAAGCCAGCAAGTTTTTTTGACAACTGAATTCTAGAGTGCTCTATTTTAATCAAGTCAATCAAGGTCAATTTTAAAATTTAAACTAACACAAAATTAAAAAGTGGGCATTTTAGCTGGATTCTGAAATTAACCGTGCCACTGATGCACAATGCCTCAAGTGCCAGTTGCTTCAGGGAGGGGACAGAGGGAAAGATGGGGGAAGCAGTACTGCTCCCAGTGTCAGAGATCATCTGTGAGCAATTTATGAAGGCCTGGGCTGTGCAAAAGCAGGGACTGCTGAGGCTTGCTGAAGTGGAGGTTGCTCTGCAGAGCTATTGCATGTCTCTGCACTGGACTTCTGAGCCTCTTCCAAAATACTGATGTTACCTGGTCCTGTTGGTTGTCCGGGACATCGCAGCCTTTGCAGTGTCCCAGATAATGAAGTGTTAACTGCGTGACAGAGTGGAATTCAGACTTCAGGTTATAGACAGCAAGCTTTTGAACATTGCATATAGCTTCAGTGCTACAACAGTGAAATAAGTGATTAAACAAAAGTGTAATTAATCTTAGTTATTCTCGTCCTCTCTTTAGAGGAGTAAAAGATGTGCTGAAGAAGAGACTGAAGAATTATTACAAGAAACAGAAGCTGATGCAGAAGGAAGTTCTTAATTCAGACGGCTACTATGACTATATCTGCGTTGTTGACTTCGAAGCAACCTGTGAAGAAGGAAACCCACCTGAATTCGTACATGAAATAATTGAGTTTCCCATTGTCTTATTGAACACTCATACCCTGGAAATAGTAAGTGATCTAATTGCTGTGTCAGTATGCTGTTCTTTGGTGTCACTTCTTTGCTTGGGAAAGTCTGGAGTAGTTTTTAGGTAGATTTTGAGCTTCATTAAAAATAACACTTTTTTTCTTAAAGACCTATCCTCTGAGCCTCTTACAAGCAAAGCTAACTTTTCTAAAAGAAGCTGGAAAAGATCAACCCTCTACTGTTCCCTCTACTGATACGAGAGTACTTTCAGTTTCTCAGTCCTTCAGTCCTTTTTTTTTTTTTTTTTCCTCGTCTCCGTGCTTTAAGATCCACCAAGCTATTTTTATGACTTTGGAGATTCATCATAAACAAGAATTAGGACAGTCTGCGGCCTCCTCTGAGACAATGAGGAGACTAATGCAGAATTCTAGAAAGGAGGGTTCAGTGAGCTCACTTCTCAGCAAGTTAGATTATTCCTGCAGCCTGCCTCATAGATTGGCAGCTGCCTAACCCAGATTTAAAAATACTCTGTAGAAATTTTGCAGCCTCATAAGCACTCTATTCCTATACATCTCTCTTTTAGGAGAAACTTAACCTGCTATCTGACTGTAACTATGACTCTGTGAAACTGAGAAACTGCAGATTCCCCTGATAAACATTTACCAGGAAGTTTTAAGAGGAGGAGCGTTTCCAGTAATGATTGTGATGCAACATGAGATTGTAGCTGCATGCATGCCTCTAACTGCGGAAAGAGGAGTGTGCAGATTACCAAGAATGTTTCGCTACTTGTAGCGTAGTAGGAAGCAGCTTATTTTTTTTATTATTCATGCTCTCCTTTCCTCAAATCCTCCTCTTCATTGAAGTCTGTCCTTTTCCCTTCCTGCATCCACATCCCTGCTCCATGGTGCCTACTGGCAGTTCCAGCTAACAAACCATCCGCCCATCCCACTGGGAATCTCAGGGTGCCCAGTCAGGATGCTCACACTCGCTGGGGAGGTGTGCAGTCCTTTTTGCCTCCAGCTGGGCAAGTAGCTGCTATTGATTGCCTTTTGAGCTCTGGGCAAGCCGAAGAAGTTGCATTGTGGGCTACGTAGCGGGCTGCTGCTCACCGTTTCACTCTCTTGTTACAGGAGGATACGTTTCAGCAGTATGTGAAGCCAGAGGTTAATCCCAAACTTTCAAATTTCTGTATTGGTCTGACAGGAATCACCCAGGTAATTTCTACTTCTTCTTTTCCTTGGGGGAAAAATGAAAAAAAGAGATGTGTTGATGTTTTCGAATTTGTGTGGTATCTTTCTGGAAGATCATTTATGTAATCCTTGTTTCTTTTGCCCTCTCCAACTGTTACCCTGGAATTGACTTCACTTAGCTGGTCATTCACGCCTTTTAGGAGCTGTAGGGAAAAGCATTCATTTTGTAATCCATTTTGGCCAGTTGGGGTCAGCTGTCCTGGGTATGTCCCCTTCCAGCTTCTGCTGCACCCCAGCTTCCTCACTCACAGGGCAGTGTGAGAAGCTGGAAAGTCCTTGGCTTTGTGTAAGCCCTGCTCTACAACTAAAACATCATTGTGTTATCAGCATTATTCTCATCCTAAATCCAAAACATGGCACCGTACCAGCTGCTAGGAGGAAAACTAACTCTATGCCAGCTGAAACCAGGACATCTATTTACTTTTAGAGATGATATTTGAGGTCTGGCTCTTTAGTGGTGCTTTTTTTTTTTTTTTCAGTTTAGAAAAATCTGTCCCCTTACCGACTTATTTTAATGTGTAGTCTGTTTCTAAGACTATTGTGAAGCCAATTTAGTGAGTTATTTAGTATGATACTGGTATACAGCCTATACACCAGTATCATTCTTACACTTCATGTTGTGAAGGTTTGTTGGTTGTTTTTGTGGGTTTTTGTTGTTGTGTTGTTTTTTTAAGTGTTCGTTGCTTTTGCTTTCTTTGCCTTATTAGGACATCATTGATAAAGCTGATGCATTTCCTCAAGTTCTACAGAACGTCATAGAGTGGATGAGACAGCGAGAACTGGGAACAAAGTACAGCTATTGCATGTTGACAGATGGGTATGTCCGTATGTAACCTTCAGCACACTCTAAAGCTGCAAAATCGTGTATACACTATTGTTAAAAGTGGATCGTGACACTGCCATTTTGCCATTTTTGTATTACAATCTTAGCTTTCGAGTAAGTCAGGAAAGCTAAAGGGAGCAGTTGGAAATGAAGCTTCAGTCCATTAGATGGCACTGTTTCTCTTCCAGGCTTCTGTACGCAGCTAAATGACATTGAGTAGACTTTTTATCCTTTCTTCTTGTTGTAATTTGCTGTGGTTTGAAAAAGCCTTCGTAAGAGATGAATGGATACATGAGAAAACCTGTCATAAGTCCAATTTACCAAGTGAAAAAAATATTTTGACCACAGCCCCTCTTTTTCAGAATTCCTGAAGATCTGGACAATGGCCATCAATCACATGCCTTTTTGGCTTCTTTGGAAGCAATAGTAAATTTTTAAAAAGACAACATTAAGGCAAAACTGGTATAAGACTAGTTAGATTAATGGCTTTAGAACGTGTCTGGAATTCTTAAGGGGAGTCCCCTTGAGAAAATAGGTGCAGTGAGATTGTGTAGATGGCTTCAAGAGAAGGGAAAAATGGCTTTACTCTAGCTTGAAGCTTACAAACTTGTTGGGGTGCTTCCTTGCAGGAAGGAAAGCTAGAAGTGTGTAGGGTTATAACTTCATCTTCTTTCCATAAAGGTCTGGTTCTTCTAAAAAGAATTCCGGTTTTATTTCAATATCATCAGTTAGGGAGATAAATGTATGCATACCTGAGTGATCAGGGAAATTTCAGTTGTAATATCCTTCTGCAAAGACTGTATAAGCCTCTGATATACTGGCTATCCTGGAGTTAATGTGGTAGCTGAGGCAGTTGGCATGCTATTTTTTGTTACAATCATTCTGGGCCTGAAACCATTTAGTGAAAACGTTGCTCCTTTTGCTATTTGTTTTCCCTATCATTAAGAATTTCATATTGAAAGATTCCTTTCCATGACTGCAGACAGCTTTCCCTAATCTAAGCAGTTTTCCTTCTACTGACACCAAAGAAAAGACATCTTTTGTGTTTCAGATGTGCAATAGGTGGAATAGAGAGTATATGAGTTATTCATTATTAATGTCTTTCTCTTTTTTTCTTTTGATATGTTAAGATCTTGGGATATGAGTAAATTTCTGAATATCCAGTGCCGTGTTAGCCGTATTAAATACCCTTCGTTTGCCAAAAAGTGGATCAATATTCGCAAATCATATGGGAACTTCTATAAGGTTTGTACAGATAATTGTTTTCTCTTGCAGGAAATTTTTGTTTATCTTGAATGTCCTGTTATACCTGTGACTGTGACGTGTGCGCTATAAAAATAGTGCAACTTAATCTAGTTGCCTGGAGCCTGATTTTCTAATGTCATTCATGCCCACATCTCATTTAACTAATTGAAAATGGTATCATCTACTGCATTTTAATGTTAATCTTGCTTTTAAGAATCAGCAGATGTGTTCATTGTTGCATGACGGATTGTCTAAAATGTCATATGGGTGCTCTTGGATCTTAAAGTAGCTGAAAAGATTCTGTATTGATTTTGCAATTATCATTTCCTGTTTCCATGTAATACAAAACAAAGTTGCATCACTATGGCCAGATATCTCCACTTTTTTCACAGAAATGGGGACAGGAAGAGATTAGGACCCATCTACAGTTGCATCAAGCTGTCAGGAGAAAAATAATGCTGGTTCAGTGCTGGATCTTATCGCTGCTTTCCTTCACTGTCATTGCCATGAAGTGGGTTATTGGAGATTCTGGTGAATTACTAGTCAGTGTAGCTAAACCATTGCTCTGAGTACGATTTGGACCTGGCTGGCAATCTTTTCTTGAAGGGATTTGTTATATTTAATATAACCTCAGGAAAAAGGAGGTTGACATTTAATAAGGGATTTGGTTCATCTGTGTAGACATGGGCAACTGTTGGTGTTGCCAATCTGTTGAGAAATGTGGGGTCAGTAAGAATCAGGACCTGATGCTTCTTAATCCCTTAGAATTGAAAAGAAAACAAGTCTGATTCCCTCTGCTACACCACTTTGGTAATTCTTTCTTTATAAGTCTCGTTAAACCTTGCTGGACCATGACTTCCACCGTTGCCAGCGTTGGCACATCTTGAGCTGGTGCTTGTCATGGTGAGAAGCTCTTGAAATGGTTCTGAGTCTAGACAAGCTCCTGTAGACTATGTCTCCACTATAAAAATGAGTGTCTGTCTCAGCAAGGTGCTTTGAAGTGAAATCGTTAGTGATCCACCAACAGGCAACATGAAAGTAGTATGTGGTACTTCACATCTGCATCTGTTTATTTTGCAGCGTGTTAGATTAAAAAGACTTGGTACAGAACCTAATTCTGAAATGTGGCTCGCTTGCTCCCTCAGGTTCCTAGGAACCAGACCAAGCTGACAATCATGCTTGAAAAGCTGGGGATGACCTACGACGGGAGACCCCACAGTGGACTTGACGACTCTAAAAACATTGCAAGGATAGCTATAAGGATGCTGCAGGATGGCTGTGAACTGCGAGTGAATGAGAAAATGCATGCGGGACAGCTCATGACAGTCTCCTCTTCAACCCCCATAGAGGGAGCCCCTGCTCCACAGATGCCCCGTTACAGAAACTAACAGTTCAGGGCTTCTGCATTAGGAACTGCTCTCAGATACCCACTACAGATTGTTAATAGCTTGTCAAACGGCAACCTCTGCAAACCTCTCGGCAATTCAGAACCTGAAGGCACCTTAACTAATGGTCTTTGTTGAAAAAAAAGAGTGTGGAAGCTTTTTGAAGCCTGTGTTACAACGTTGGTTTTTTATACTGATGATTTTTTTGTTGTTGTTGTAACTGGTTTTTGCACCTTTTCCAGCAGTAAGGCTGATATGCAAAATCCAGGCAAAGTGGTAAGCTTTTAAGGACATGGAATTTAAACACATGCAAAGATTGGTTAGGCTTGTGTGCTACTGTTCCACACCAGCTTGTGGGGAGTATTTATTCATTATTCCATACTATAATGATATCTAGCATATCATTATTAATTGCATCCAAACAAGATGTTGCTAGAAGAGCTGAAATAAAGATTGGCTGGGCTGGCCTCTGCTGATAAGGCAATCTCATTAGGATTCCTGCTGATAATTGTTTTTCACAAAGTCTGAGAAATTGGAGCATCTTCATCAACTCTAAAGCAATAGAGAAGTAGTGTGGGTTTCTTTCTTTCTTTTTTCTTTTTTTTTTCTTTTTAATCTAAGGGATATGCTTGTCTTTGACCACATCAATTATACAAGCTGTGCGTTGAATAAAAAATCCATTCATGCAGTATGGCATTAATTTTCTTAACCCATATTTAAAAAGAGGAGGTGCTTTGGAACTTCACTTTGAGGATCAAATTTCCTGTGCCTGCTACACTCAAGCTAAATCAAATGAAGGACAGCCTATTTGAACATTTGTCATCTATTTTGACTTAAAAACGAAGTGAAATAAAAGTAAGTTCAAACCAAGTTCAAAATTCTCTGTTACATGGTTGTTATTTAAAACAAAACAAGAAGCTTCTCATTCATAGTTAGAGACTTGCTCGGCTATTTTCGGTACCTTCTCCTACCTCTGCTATCATGGAACTATGCCTTTATCCGAAATCTAAGGTTGGAAGGTGTGTGTGTGTATATATATATATATACACACCTATATATATATAGGTGTATGTGTGTATATATATGTGTGTGCGTGTGTGTATATATATATAGCTATATATATATAGTTTTATTAGTGAAGGTCACATCTAATTATTAACAACTTCCTCTGCTTTCCTCCTAGGCCCCAGATGATACTCAAATGTGGCCAAACCATTCATTTACTTTACCTCAGTGGGCTATGGCAAAGTACAGCTTCAATGTGATCAGCTTTGCATTAGAATGGCTTGTTCTGAAAAGCAGAATTTTGATTGCTCTCGGTCAAAAAAAAAAAAAAAGTTTGTTTGGTATCCCTGTATTATAATTCATTCTTTCTTTCTGCTGCTTATTTTAAAGAAACAGAACTAATAATTCATGATAAAGCCTTGTTTGTTTAGGACATTTACTGCTTGGCTAGTCAAACTCCTCTTGGTTCCCCTTGTTCTTCTGTCTGTTAACTGTTTCAGTGGTAACCTGAAAACATTATTATAAATTCATGTGAGAGATAAATACTGGTCAATTCTCCAATGATTTGTAGGAATAAGGCAGTTTTCTTTCCACTCATAGCTACAGGCACTGCTGTGGGCACTTGGGGACAGCTACTTTAGGATGGTCGTTCTTTTCCTGTGAGTGAATATTTGTTTTACTTGTAGCCTTTTGTTGAACTTCACATTTTCCTCTTTCTGTAGAAATACTTGATGTATTTTCAGAAAGATAAAATCTCTGTTACACTTACTCTGACCACTTAATTCTAGTCCCGTATTTTCTACAAACTGTTACTTACATATTTGTTCTCTGTAGAGATAATATTCTCTTCTGGAATTGTGAAAAAACATAGTAACTTCTTCCGTCTCAGAATTTCTGTGGTAAAGGTTTTTTATGATAAAAATGAGTTTATCTCAGCAAAGCTCCCTTCAGGAGACTGGTAATGTCACAGACTTTATCACTAGTCTTATTTGCAGGTCTGTAACCACGCTCACAGTCCAAACAAAGAATTACTTGCTACGGATTATACTACAGGTTTCATAAGTGAAGAGCTATTGTAATTTTACATTAAGTCCAGAATTGTTTATTTTTGTTAAATAACTTCAGAATGATATTTTGAAATAAGGATTAAATATTAACTTGCTTTCTATTTATTGCTGGAGTAGGTTTTTTTAAGAGTTGCAGAAATCAGTAGAATAATTCCAGACATTTTTTAAACCTAAACTATATTAATGTCTGACTGTAAACTAATTAAAAATTTTCATAGAATCGCAGAATGTTTGATTCTGTGATTTTTTAAAATGAAGTTTATCAATGTTTGTTTATTTGAAATGTAAACAGTTGTATTAAAATAAGTTGGTATATTTTAAAGCATAAGGTACTGAATTCATTCCATAAAACGTGACTTTGACCATCTTGGAGGTCCCAGCATGGCCCATCATCAGTCTACTCTGGTGTACCAGCAACATTACCATGGTTAGGAGGCTCAAATTTCATGAATGCACCTAGTTCACAACACTTAGAGGATATGTTTTCCTGGATGCCTTTATACTAAAGGTGAAGGAGGCATTTGAGTAAGTAATAATATTTAAAAAAAAAAAAAAAAAGTGGTATGGTGATTTCAGTAGTGATTGTGTTGCAGACAAGCATTTTTTCAGGTTTCATTTGCTCGTGCAGAGAAGAATCTTGCTGGGCGTATCTCTGCTGTAGTGAATATTGATGTCTGTTAGAGGAGTCATAGAGTCAGAACAGCTCAAGTTGGAAGGGACCCCAGAGATGATCTAACTCCAACGCCCTGCCATGGACAGGGATGCCACCTGCTAGGCCAGGCTGGCCAAGGCCCCATCCTGCCTGGCCTTAAACACTTCCAGGGATGGGGCATCCACAGCTTCTCTGGGCAGCCTGTGCCAGGGCCTCACCAACCTCACAGTAAAGAATTTCTTCCTAATAGCTCATCTAAATCTACCCTCTTTTAGTTTGAAGTCATTCCACTGTGTCATATTCCTCCCTGACAAAGAGTCCCTCCCCAGCTTTCCTGTAGGCCCCCTTTACGTATTGCCTTGTACGTATTACGTACAACCCCCAGGTGCTTCTCTGCAGGGCTGCTCTCAAGAAGCCATCTCACGCTGGAAAAATTCATTGACAAGTGAGTTACAATTTCCTTTTTATGCAGGAGAAAAGAAAAAAAAAAAAAAAAAAACCACCATCATGCAGACATTAACCTGCTGATAGTAGTAGTAGGTTTTTCTTTTTTTTTTTTTTGGTTTATTTGTTTGGTTGTTGTTTAAATTCCACATTTCAGGAGCTGTTCTTGAGCAACTCCACTACTACTGGCAAACTGGTTACAGACGTTTCAACAGGAGCGTGCTTTCAGGTAGATTTCTTAATACACACACGTGAACGTGAGAGGGATTCACAGAATCTTGGGGTTGTGTTAGAGGGGAAAAAGGGTTTCTCAGAAAGATTAAAGAGTAATAACCTCTGTCTCATTGCTGCTGTCTGAGTAAATATGACTAGCTGCATGGAGAAGAAGAGGTCACAATTGTTTGTAATCTCCCGTGAACCTGCCGGTGAGGTATGGCTGTGGGACAAGTCACAGCAGGTCAGTTGTCCATGGTCACTGCTCCTGCCTGTGCTTGTCCAACAACAAGGTAGCCATTTCCATATTTTGTCAGAAATTAACATAGCAGTGAGGAGGGGGCTGTTCCCAGCAGTAGAAATAGAGTAGTAGTAGAAAATAGAGCAGTAGTAGAAATAGGTGAAAGCTTCAGCTGATCTCGAGCTGAGGCTCTCGCAGTACTTCCCTGGTGCCTCCTTGCCGTCTCGGCCTGTTCAGCGTCTGTGTGGAAGCAGTGTCTTTTTTACCACAGCTTAAAGGTTTCACAGGAAAAATAGTCTCAATAAAAAGAAATTGGAGGTCTTAGCTGTGGGGGGCAGGTGTCAGGACACACAGGTAATAGCTGGAGCCTTTGGGAATGGGCTGGATGTGGGGAACACCGCCCTGCTGCAGTAGGTGCCTTGGGCTTGGCTGTGGCCTAGCTGAAGAGTTGTAACAGGGAGCCAGCTGGCGCTTCGTTTTAGAAGTCCTTCCTGCTTCATGGGTTAATGATCTGCAAATAGAGACACTGCCAGGACTCTGGAGGATGAGAAGTTACTTCTCTGTTGGGCTCCTCCTGGTTTGGCCTGTGCATTCGCAGCCTCTGATGCTGGCTGACTGCTTTTGCCCCGGAGTTCTTCAGGCGAGGGGTTTGTGCTTGGGGAGAAAAGCCTGAAGTAGCTTTGTGAAAGTGCTCCTTAAATTAGAGGAGCGTGATGGCATTGCACTTAGGAAAGGCTTTTCCAAATGAGTAAGGAGAGCCTCGGAAGCCTCTCTATGGCAGAGGTGACCCGTGGGTGTGTTCTGCTTTCAGATGGGATTGCCGGGCCCAGGCAGCTCCTCTGCAGCCAGCTAGTTCGGGGGTGCCCCATGGGCAGTACTGCCCTGCTCCTGCTATCTTAACCCCTGCGAGTGGACAACTATTCTCCCCCCTGTTCACATAAACCAGGCTTTCATCTTCTGCACAGCCTTGTCCTTCCCTTGCACCCATCTGTGCTGTGCTATCCTGTGCAAGTCTTAGCGTGGGTCACCAAACAGCAGTGAAATATCCCTGTCACAGCACACCCCAGCAGGAGGAATCACTTGTTCAGACTGTATCTAGGAATCCCTTTGCCAGAATAAATGCTGTTGCACAGATGAATAGTGATTTTTGCCTACTATCCTGTCTAAGTGCTTGCTATTTTTGTAGTTATTGTTATTTTTTCCATTTGAAAAATTTGTGGTAGTAATGATCTTGTGCTGGTAAAATCCTTGCAGATGATTCTGACCTCCTTTACGTTTCTGGTTATAACTATGTGGATTTTTAAAGAGTGCACCCAGCCAAGTGGACCTCTGTGAGCCAGAGATGTCCCAATAAGCCGGGATTGCCTCATCAGCGCTTACATTCAGCTTCGGGACGGTGTGCTGGCTCCGGACAGCAGCCTGGCCAAGAAGCGTGACACACCTTTACAGGCAGCTAAACGCCTAGCAAACAGGATGCTTGGGTGCTGCTTATTTTTACTGATGGCTGCAAACAGCATGTTTCGAAGTCTCCCTTCTGTGGAATGTCCCTTTTTTAAATTTCACACTATTTCGTAGTTTAAATTGATAAGTAGTTGAACTGTGTGTGCTCTGACCAGGATAAAAACACTTCATATGGAATTTATGGTCCAGCACAGCAGCCAGCTTTCTGAGACTGAGAAAGCCACCTTCTCCTTACTTAAACACTACTGGACATCTTGTATTAATTTACGTTTATGCAGATATGGAAGAAGATGACAGGGACCTAAAAAGAGGGGAGAACTTTGACAACAGGATTTTTGGGATGCCTGATGCCTTGTACAAGAGGGTGTTATAGCTTAACTATAACTCAGTTAAAAAGAAATTTTCCATGCATTTCTGGCCGCAGATAAATTTGTTGGACCTGCTTTACTCTTCAGAGAACCCTGCTTCTCGATAATGACAGAGGGCTGTTCTTTCCTACTAACACAGCTTCTTGCTATGCATTAGTCTGGAAAGCCAGGCTGTGTTCTGCTGGGAATAAAACCACAAAGCAGGTCACCCACCACACTTGGCAGCCCTCAGTAAACAGCCAGCCCTGCAGATAAGGGGAATTTGTTTGAGATGAGAATACCAGGTGGAGCGTGGCTGTAAAAGAAATCGAGCAACCTTTAGGGAATCGATCTGGTGCCTGCTGGCATGGCTGAGAACTTTGGAAATGTTTTCTTTCAGCTGTGCATTTGCTTCGTTTCCCTTGCTAATCTGCCAAGGCCACGCTGGCATGTTTCTCCTCCAGACCTTCCTCAGTCTCTTCAGATCTGCTGCGTGGGGGCTAGCAGAGGAATGCTTTACGAGATTGAGTGAGTAAGCCCATTCACGTGCCTTTTTTTCTGACAGATTGTCATTAGCCTTCAGGTATGGAAAACTTCTGTTCTTGCTTTGGCCTTGAAAGAGGGAAAAAAAAACATCTATAACTTTTTTAAAACATTTTGAAAGCTGGCTATTTGAAGGATTGGGGAAAGAAATTATCTACACATATAATTTCAGGGGGATTTGGAAACTGGAAATGCTGTAGAAAAAACTGAGGTACTGAGTATGTGTGCTTTGGTGCTGCTGAGTACAGCAGCGTGTGATAAATGACAGACCAAGTAAGGAGCAGGATGTTAGTGTGGTAGTTGTGTACAAAGCAAAGTAACTTCAGCATTTCAGAGAGCACAGCAGAGCTCTGGAGAACCTGTATCAGCCTTACCGGCTGCTTTTGGGGAGCAATACCAGCAGTGGTGCTGTTATTAGCACACAACAAGGTGGCACAGGTGGAGATAGTTTGGGCTGGGAGATGGTGTTCTTGCAAGCGTTGGTTGGATCAAGGCTTCCAAAATGAGTGATGCTCAGAAGATGCTCTTTTAAAATGCAAATGGAATCACTGCCACAGTTTAAGATTTAGCTCCCTTTCAGGCAGCAAACAGAAATGCCTTCTTCCTGCCCTTTACCCAAGAGTCCTGTCCACTGTGGTGGATACTGATTGACATTGACATGGGAAATTCTTTTTTAATTGTTTAATGGAGCAATTTGGCTGAGAGTAAATGAACAACGCTGCGCTTGGTTGATTCTGTCTGCATGTGAAACATTTCCATAGAAAATATTTCTGTGAGGATGTGGCAGCAAGCAGAAAAGGTCAAGACTTAGAGGTAATGAGGAGGTGAGAGAAGGCTGAGAAGGGAGATTGGAAGGGGAAACAGCACCACAAACAGGCTGTACAGACTAAAGAAGTGTGAGCTGTCTCAGATAAATACTGAGT